CATGATGAGTTATGTTGTATTCTTGCTGCACCAACAGGAGACAGAGGAGACGGGGAAGAAAGTGATCTGCTTCATCAAGGTCAGCGCTCCCTGGCCAGTCCTCTGTCACTACGCTGAGGAACTCAACATGAGAGCTCCCCTCCAGGTGAGTTACCCGGGAGGAGGGAAGAAAATAAGGAGGGAGGGATGGAGGGAAGGAGGGAGGGTGGGAAGGAGGGAGGGTGGGAAGGAGGGAGGGAGGGAAGGAGGGAGGGAGGGAAGGAGGGAGGGACGGTAAGAACAATGTAACAGTTATGCTTTATGTGATCATAGGCTTACTAACATTTAAGTAATTTCACAAGCATGTACTCCAAGCACACACACACACACACACACACACACACACACACACACACACACACACACACACACACACACACACACAGGAGTCACCTTGCTCGTGGTGTTGCAGGTACGACAGGCTGGGATGCTACACAAGCTGCTGAGAGCCCACCACCCCAGCAGCACCGTAAGTGTCTTCACCTCTCCAGCTTGCTGCAACACACGTCAATATGGGTAGTACAGGGACGCTCAGGGCAAGATTTCATTAAAATAACTTTTCACTCAAGGATTACTTTATCATGTCATTAAAGAGCTCTCCATGAGCGAAACGTTCTTTTAGTGAAGGTGTGACTAGTGTGATTTGCAGAGTAAATTTTCATTCCGAGGGATTTGTAGTCAGAATCAAAATTTAGTTTTAGTCTCTGCCTGCCTGAGTCTGCTCTGTGTTTATATTACCAATGTATATATTGCCTCCTACACCAGCTATCTTCCACACCAGCTGCCTCAGGCTAGGTGTTTCTCATATACCTCACCAGCTGCCTCCCGCACCAGCTGTCTCCCGCACCAGCTGTCTCAGGCTCTGTTACTCATTCTGTCACTGCTAAACCGTCTACGTTCCATGTTATTTCTTTCCTCTGTTTTACGTATCATTCTTATTCAACGTTCTTCATCATTCTCCCAAACATTTGCAACTATCCTCCACTATCTTGCATTAGCGTAGATTATCTTCTAGTCTGTATTATAATAACTGTCAACAGCCTCTAAGGACAGCTCTCACAGTGTTCTGGTGTCTTACACTGAGATCAGTGTTCTGGTGTCTTACACTGAGATCAGTGTTCTGGTGTCTTACACTGAGGTCAGTTTTCTGGTGCCTTACACTGAGGTCAGTGTTCTGGTGTCTTACACTGAGGTCAGTGTTCTGGTGTCTTACACTGAGATCAGTGTTCTGGTGTCTTACACTGAGGCCAGTGTTCTGGTGTCTTACACTGAGGTCAGTGTTCTGGTGTCTTACACTGAGGTCAGTGTTCTGGTGTCTTACACTGAAATCAGTGTTCTGGTGTCTTACACTGAGGTCAGTGTTCTGGTGTCTTACACTGAGGCCAGTGTTCTGATGTCTTACACTGAGGCCAGTATTCTGGTGTTTTACACTGAGGTCAGTGTTCTGATGTCTTACACTGAGGCCAGTGTTCTGATGTCTTACACTGAGGCCAGTGTTCTGGTGTTTTACACTGAGGTCAGTGTTCTGGTGTTTTACACTGAGGTCAGTGTTCTGATGTCTTACACTGAGGCCAGTATTCTGATGTCTTACACTGAGGTCAGTGTTCTGGTGTCTTACACTGAGGTCAGTGTTCTGGTGTCTTACACTGAGGTCAGTGTTCTGGTGTCTTACACTGAGGTCAGTGTTCTGGTGTCTTACACTGAGGTCAGTGTTCTGGTGTCTTACACTGAGGTCAGTGTTCTGGTGTTTTACACTGAGGTCAGTGTTCTGGTGTTTTACACTGAGGTCAGTGTTCTGGTGTCTTACACTGAGGCCAGTGTTCTGATGTCTTACACTGAGGTCAGTGTTCTGGTGTCTTACACTGAGGTCAGTGTTCTGGTGTCTTACACTGAGGCCAGTGTTCTGATGTCTTACACTGAGGTCAGTGTTCTGGTGTCTTACACTGAGGTCAGTGTTCTGGTGTTTTACACTGAGGTCAGTGTTCTGGTGTTTTACACTGAGGTCAGTGTTCTGATGTCTTACACTGAGGCCAGTGTTCTGATGTCTTACACTGAGGTCAGTGTTCTGGTGTTTTACACTGAGGTCAGTGTTCTGATGTCTTACACTGAGGCCAGTGTTCTGATGTCTTACACTGAGGCCAGTGTTCTGATGTCTTACACTGAGGTCAGTGTTCTGGTGTCTTACACTGAGTCAGTGTTCTGGTGTTCTTACACTGAGGTCAGTGTTCTGGTGTCTTACACTGAGGTCAGTGTTCTGGTGTCTTACACTGAGGTCAGTGTTCTGGTGTCTTACATTGAGGTCAGTGTTCTGGTGTCTTATGCTGAGGTCAGTGTTCTGGTGTCTTACACTGAGGTCAGTGTTCTGGTATCTTACACTGAGGCCAGTGTTCTGGTGTTTTACACTGAGGTCAGTGTTCTGGTGTTTTACACTGAGGTCAGTGTTCTGATGTCTTACACTGAGGTCAGTGTTCTGATGTCTTACACTGAGGTCAGTGTTCTGGTGTCTTACACTGAGGTCAGTGTTCTGGTGTCTTACACTGAGGTCAGTGTTCTGGTGTCTTACACTGAGGTCAGTGTTCTGGTGTCTTACACTGAGGTCAGTGTTCTGGTGTCTTACACTGAGGCCAGTGTTCTGGTGTCTTACACTGAGATCAGTGTTCTGGTGTCTTACACTGAGGTCAGTGTTCTGGTGTCTTGCACTGAGATCAGTGTTCTGGGGTCTTACACTGAGATCAGTGTTCTGGTGTCTTACACTGAGATCAGTGTTCTGGTGTCTTACACTGAGATCAGTGTTCTGGTGTCTTACACTGAGGTCAGTGTTCTGGTGTTTTACACTGAGGTCAGTGTTCTGGTGTTTTACACTGAGGTCAGTGTTCTGATGTCTTACACTGGGGGCCAGTGTTCTGATGTCTTACACTGAGGTCAGTGTTCTTGTGTTTTACACTGAGGTCAGTGTTCTGATGTCTTACACTGAGGCCAGTGTTCTGATGTCTTACACTGAGGCCAGTGGGTTTTGATGTCTTACACTGAGGTCAGTGTTTCTGGTGTCTTACACTGAGGTCAGTGTTCTGGTGTCTTACACTGAGGTCAGTGTTCTGGTGTCTTACACTGAGGTCAGTGTTCTGGTGTCTTACACTGAGTCAGTGTTCTGGTGTCTTACACTGAGGTCAGTGTTCTGGTGTCTTATGCTGAGGTCAGTGTTCTGGTGTCTTACACTGAGGTCAGTGTTCTGGTATCTTACATTGAGGCCAGTGTTCTGGTGTTTTACACTGAGGTCAGTGTTCTGGTGTTTTACACTGAGGTGAGTGTTCCCGATGTCTTACACTGAGTCAGTGTTCTGATGTCTTACACTGAGGTCAGTGTTCTGGTGTCTTACACTGAGGTCAGTGTTCTGGTGTCTTACACTGAGGTCAGTGTTCTGGTGTCTTACACTGAGGTCAGTGTTCTGGTGTCTTACACTGAGGTCAGTGTTCTGGTGTCTTACACTGAGGCCAGTGTTCTGGTGTCTTACACTGAGATCAGTGTTCTGGTGTCTTACACTGACGTCAGTGTTCTGGTGTCTTGCACTGAGATCAGTGTTCTGGTGTCTTACACTGAGATCAGTGTTCTGGTGTCTTACACTGAGATCAGTGTTCTGGTGTCTTACACTGAGATCAGTGTTCTGGTGTCTTACACTGAGGTCAGTGTTCTGGTGTCTTACACTGAGGTCAGTGTTCTGGTGTCTTTCACAGAGGCCAGTGTTCTGGTGTATTACACTGAGGCCAGTATTCTGGTGTTTTACACTGAGGTCAGTGTTCTGATGTCTTACACTGAGGCCAGTGTTCTGATGTCTTACACTGAGGCCAGTGTTCTGGTGTTTTACACTGAGGTCAGTGTTCTGGTGTTTTACACTGAGGTCAGTGTTCTGGTGTTTTACACTGAGGTCAGTGTTCTGGTGTTTTACACTGAGGTCAGTGTTCTGATGTCTTACACTGAGGCCAGTATTCTGATGTCTTACACTGAGGTCAGTGTTCTGGTGTCTTACACTGAGGTCAGTGTTCTGGTGTCTTACACTGAGGTCAGTGTTCTGGTGTCTTACACTGAGGTCAGTGTTCTGGTGTTTTACACTAAGGTCAGTGTTCTGGTGTTTTACACTGAGGTCAGTGTTCTGGTGTCTTACTCTGAGGCCAGTGTTCTGATGTCTTACACTGAGGTCAGTGTTCTGGTGTCTTACACTGAGGTCAGTGTTCTGGTGTCTTACACTGAGGGCAGTGTTCTGATTCTTACAACTGAGGTCAGTGTTCTGGTGTCTTACACTGAGGTCAGTGTTCTGGTGTTTTACACTGAGGTCAGTGTTCTGGTGTTTTACACTGAGGTCAGTGTTCTGATGTCTTACACTGAGGCCAGTGTTCTGATGTCTTACACTGAGGTCAGTGTTCTGGTGTTTTTTCACTGAGGTCAGTGTTCTGATGTCTTACACTGAGGCCAGTGTTCTGATGTCTTACACTGAGGCCAGTGTTCTGATGTCTTACACTGAGGTCAGTGTTCTGGTGTCTTACACTGAGGTCAGTGTTCTGGTGTCTTACACTGAGTCAGTGTTCTGGTGTCTTACACTGAGGTCAGTGTTCTGGTGTCTTACACTGAGGGCAGTGTGTTCTGGTGTCTTACACTGAGGTCAGTGTTCTGGTGTCTTATGCTGAGGTCAGTGTTCTGGTGTCTTACACTGAGGTCAGTGTTCTGGTATCTTACACTGAGGCCAGTGTTCTGGTGTTTTACACTGAGGTCAGTGTTTCTGGTGTTTTACACTGAGGTCAGTGTTCTGAATGTCTTACACTGAGGTCAGTGTTCTGATGTCTGTACACTGAGTCAGTGTTCTGGTGTCTTACACGAGGTCAGTGTTCTGGTGTCTTACACTGAGGTCAGTGTTCTGGTGTCTTACACTGAGGTCAGTTTTCTGGTGTCTTACACTGAGGTCAGTGTTCTGGTGTCTTACACTGAGGCCAGTGTTCTGGTGTCTTACACTGAGATCAGTGTTCTGGTGTCTTACACTGAGGTCAGTGTTCTGGTGTCTTGCACTGAGATCAGTGTTCTGGTGTCTTACACTGAGATCAGTGTTCTGGTGTCTTACACTGAGATCAGTGTTCTGGTGTCTTACACTGAGGTCATGTGTTCTGGTGTCTTACACTGAGGTCAGTGTTCTGGTGTCTTTCACAGAGGCCAGTGTTCTGGTGTATTACACTGAGGCCAGTATTCTGGTGTTTTTACACTGAGGTCAGTGTTCTGATGTCTTACACTGAGGCCAGTGTTCTGATGTCCTTACACTGAGGTCAGTGTTCTGGTGTCTTACACACTGAGGTCAGTGTTCTGGTGTTTTTACACTGAGGTCAGTGTTCTGGTGTTTTACACTGAGGTCAGTGTTCTGGTGTCTTACACTGAGGCCAGTGTTCTGATGTCTTACACTGAGGTCAGTGTTCTGGTGTCTTACACTGA